GGGTCCAAAGGAGGGCTACAAAAATGATCCGAGGGCTGGAGCACCTCTGCTATGAGGACAGGCTGAGAGAGTTGGGCTTGTTCAGCCTGGAGAAGAGAAGGCTGCGGGGAGACCTGATTACAGCCTTTCAGTACTTAAAGGGAGCCTATAGGAAAGATGGGGACAATCTGTTTAGTAGAGACAGCAGTGACAGGATGAGGGGTAATGGTTTTAAACTAAAACAGGGTAGGTTTAAGCTGCATATAAGGAAGAAATTCTTTACAATGAGGGTGGTGAAACACTGGAACAGGTTGCCCAGAGAGGTAGTGGAGGCCCCATCACTGGAAACATTCAAGACCAGGTTGGACAGGACTCTGAGCAACCTGATCTAGTTAGTGGTGTCCCTGCTCGCTGCGGGGGGGTTGGACTAGATGACCTCTAGGGGTCCCTTCCAACCCAAAACTTTCTATGATTCTGTGATTCTATCCAAATCCACAGATTTTAAACTAAAAATCTTCAAACCGAAGATTACTTGTCACTCCATTTCCTCACTTTGTCTACAAATTATCATGCAGTAAAAAACCGATTTTCCAGTAACCACTAACTTCTTGTGTAATTTTGTAACAGCTACAGAAACGTACTTGCATTGAAACAACTTCCCTCCCATTCTTCTGTCTCCTTCACAAGGCACAAAGTACAAAAGGCTATTGTTTTTCCTCGGCATCTTCTTTAAGAGACACAGTCTAAACACTGGCCCTTAAGTATACCAATTAAACACTCCCTGAAACCCATGAAGGTAACTGCCAAACCTACTGCCCCGTCTTCTGACTTTCTCAGTAGCTGCTTTTTATCTTCCTCCTGTTTTTCTCAATCTGGAGGCAAGTGTGTCTGCATGCAGTGAAACATGCAGAGGAAGACTAGAAGACCTGTAATGGTTATGGATACTTGAGAAGTGGCGTAACCTGAGCGACTTGGCTTGTTATTACTTGTTGCTTGATAAAATGCAACATTTCTCAAAGACTAAGGTGATACTTCAGCTTTCCCTGGCCAAATACCATTTCTTAAAAAATAAAATCCCACCGCATGAAGACATTAATCAACAGTTTGTGCAGCCAGCCAAAACTGCAGGTCTGTTGTAGATAAACATGACTGCACATCCAGGGTTGCTGCACGGAAAGCAGAGCAAACCACTCGCCGCATGGACCTCTGCATGTTTGTACTTACAGGCACAGCCAGAAAATCACACTCCAGGGGCTAGAAAAGCAGCAGCGTCCAATCACCCTTGTAGGGAGCCGAGCAAAAAATCACTGCTAGACACAAAGTGCGATAAAATACTGCTGTCACAACTGACTTCCTTCCAAAAGTGCTCACTGAAAGCTACTCACACTGCCGCTCAAAGAGTACTGTCCTTAAGGACATGGGCTCCTGGTGTATGCTTTGAGTCACAGGATGTTACAAGGAGAAAAATACGTCAAATCCCACAGTCTAATAAGAACGTTACAAAAATTACATACCAACAGAAAGCCTATTTTTGTCGGCCTTCAGGAAAGCCACTGGTGAACAACATGCAGGAACACATTTTTCTTTATTTTGATATGGAGAGATCTGTTGTACCACCCATTAAGGACTTCAAAAGGCTTTCTCCCTCTCCCTTTGAGACAGCTTTAAAACTCTATGTTTCAATGAACTCTCAATTTGAGTGACATGCATATTTTTCATTAATCTGCTCTGCAGTACTTAACAAATACAAATCTGGTACCTGTGTCTTCACTCCTGGTGTCATTGGCGTGGCAAAATTGTTCAAGTCCCAGATATAGATTTCAGACTCATTAGCACCAGAGGCCACCAGATTAGTCTGTAAGAACATTAATAGATGTTAAGAGTATTTTCAGCATCAGCTTTCACAGCCTTAGCTGCTGGGAGGCATCAGATCCACAAGACTGTGCCAATTCCTCCTATCAGCTCAGGATATAGCCTTTGGCTCACACAGAGCAGCTTAGGGGAAAAAAGCAAGTTTTTTTGAGATTGCAGGTAAGACTGAATTAGTTAAAAAAATCCACACACTGCACTAGACTGGCATGCCAAGACCAAACTTCCCATTTTGTTGAGTGTTCCTCTACTGCACATTAAACACCCATGAGGAGGCTGGCAGGGGCACAGCCATGGACAGGTGAGTGGAAAGCAGCGACACTTCTGAGAGGGGGCAGACAAGGAAGTGGTGCTGAAGCTATTGCTGCTGTGGAGCTTTGCTCCAGGCAAGTCACGACATGCGGGGCTGGCTGGAAGGAGTGTGGCGTTTGTGCCTCCAGCAGCAGACAGCGCCCTGCCCACAGTGAGTGCAGTCATCCAGAGCAATCCTACGTCTGGGATGCAAAAGTCCAGGCAGGGTGACACGAGCGCCCTTTGATCACAGCCTGCAGATGATGACAAGCAAGTCCTGACTTCATAACAGGCAGAAAGGGAAAAGCAGCAATTCAGAGGGGACACGACTTTCAGCAGGGTGGCCTTGCTGAAAGTAAGTGTGCAGGGACAGAAGCGATATTTAGCAAACAAATTCAACTAAATTCTCAAACAGCTTGTGGGGACATGGGAAAACCACCCCACTGCATCTAGAAGCAAGTAAACGCTCATTAGTGATGGAGGAAAGTTTGTTGGTTTTGAGAGCTCTTCTGCTAAAGATACCACATCGCTGTGTTTCCTGTTCTGTCGCTTCTTTCCAAGTAATAATACTTAAAGATCTCGAAGACAGATCCTAACCCAAACCCCAAAGAAGATACTCTTGTTTCTGGCAACATCAGATTTTAGGTTAGAGCACATAAATACTCCCCGTGTGATGAGAACAATATTGGCACAGTATGCATGAGCGTAAGAAGGAGACTGACTCAAAAAACCACCAGAGAAGACCACCTCTACCTTACCTGTAAGCCCGGTTAAAAAGACCCACTAAATTGACAATATAAACTGATGTGGGGAAGGAATGAACCAGACATCTTAAGCTCTTTCATTCCCTATCCTGAAATGCCAGTAACAGGACAGGTTTTTCCTACAAACAGATATTCAAACACAAAATTTAGTTCATGCTTTTCAGGGGAGGGGAAAGGAACAGAAACACTTAAGGTTACAAGTTAATACAGGCCACTCATCTATGACGGTATGTGATGAAGAACATCAGAAAACCCACCTGGAACATGTTGACATCGAGCGCTCTTACTGGTCCTGTGTGCTTGTCTTTCTGGGCAATTATCACTTCAGCGTCTCCAGCTATGATTTTGGCTGGATCATACAGAATGACATTTCCATTTTCACCCCCAGCAATCAGGACTCCGGAGACTCTCTCACCCGAGGTCATGCTGTGCGGCCCCCAGATCAGCTTATGGTACCTGCAAGACACAGAGGTCCCCACAGTCTACAACTGCCCACATACACTGATGCACCCCATTTTGCTCACCCAGCTAAAGACTCCAGACTGCTGCTAACAGACAGAGCCGACACCGTCAGAGGAAAAAAACACTGCCTGCATTTCTTCTTAAGCAAGAGTCTCTGTACTCACAACCCTTTCCATCAGCAAGACAATGTGTCCCAATTCTGCTCGTTATCAAGACACAGGGTCATGACATTCACAACAAATAACAGAGTACCTGATAACATCTCTCATCTCCTGGCTGCAACATCAGGTAAGTACTCCCAACCGCACGATTTTGAGCTCACCTTTGCAAAATAATAGGAGTAAACAAAGTAAGGACTGTAAGCCCATCAAACTGCAGCCTGGAGGTAAACCTCTGCTATTTGTCAGCAACTCTTCACAGAAGAGAGAAAAAAGGTGGAACTAGAAAAATTCCAAATCCTTTTCCATATCTGTGCTTCTGGATGTGCGTTTCATCTGCTGTACTGGAGGCTCAGCAAGTAGTTTATTCATATCAGACATGTGCCTCTTGGACCACAACCTATTTTCCAGACTAAATCAAGAGGAATTAAACATATTTCCAGAAATGAAGTATTTTCACACCACCGTGTCCATCTGCAAATATTCAAGTTTCCTTCAACTCGGTGAACTTGCTGCATAAGCAAAACAGCATTCCTATGTGTTCAGCCACACAAAGAATGAATTTCTTCTACATAAAATGACACACATATCAGCTCTTACACAAGCAGAAAGCAAACCCACACTGACTGGAAGGTGGCAAGGAGTTACTTTAGCATTCACCGCGTTATTATTAATTTCTTTGTTATCTCTGGACAACCTTTGAATAATTTCTTTAAACCACAGCAAATTCAGCATGATAAAACACATACTGCAGAAAGCTAGACAAAGAGCATATGCTGGGTGGGAAATACTGTAACAGCCAAGTGCTCAGTCTCCTAGTGCAGTGTTCATATTACAGTGGGGGTTCACCAAAGAATGGATGCTACAAATGGAAACTGGTCTGCAGTATCAGACAGACCCTTTCCCTGGGTATAGTCTTCATACTTCTACACCTAACTATGCAAAGTTACGAGAAATGGAGTGACCGACAGAGTTGTCCAGACATTAGTATGACACCACCAGCAAGATTCAACAGGACTTCAGATAATCCAAAATGAAGGCAGAAAACAGCGAGGAACAAACCCTGTGCAATTAACTTTGCAATTAATTGTGCAATTACTTTCTTCTTGCCCTTTGCTCCTTCCAAGATAAAGTATGGCTCTACAAAAGCAGTACAAAACTTTCCTTGGAGGACAACTAGCAAAGCTTGTTGCAGGATTTATCTTCTGTGAGTTTAATCACCCAGACATCTTCATCTGCTGCAAACCAAAATAAAGCCCAACGTATATACGTTGTGTGCTGGACCACTTGTTGTTATCTTAAATTTAAACAAAACAAAACAATCTCCTCTGTAATGCATTTTCTGAGGCAAAGTCAAATTCTTGTGTTGCTCACCAATGGAAGTCCTTTCAAAGGAGCACTGCATCCTGGCTACAAGGAGTGTTTTTTTGAAATTCAGTAAGCAAATGTCACTTGGCAAGCCTTGAAAAATCTCAGTCATAGTTAAAACAAGGCAGAACGAGGAAATTTTGAAAGATCAAACACCTCATCCTGCTCTCAGCAGGTCAGTAGGACTTGTTAACATCAGCTTTGCCCACAGTGCAGGGCATTAAAGAGACTGTGGCTGTTTCTCGCAAGCCCCACATACTAAAATGCGGAGAACTGCAGGGCACAGATTGTGAGCTGCTTGCCAGCACAACTACTCTGCCAGCCCCACAAATCACTACAATAAAACTGACATTGCACAAAGTCAGCAGCCTAACACCTTCTTCCTGCAAAAGCTACCGCAACCGTTATTTACCCAAATCAGGAGAGCATCCCTAAGCAGGGTCACAATCTTTTTGTGTGCAAATGCACACAATTTCAATCCCTCTTCAGCTGTTCACAGGCAACACAATCTCTAGGAACCCAGCAAACTGCATTTGGTCAAGAACTTCAGGAAACAGTTATAGGCCCTCGGGTGTTGAAGTTACAGCTTTAGAACAGATGATAAAGACTCAAGTCCAGTTAATTTCTACTCCTATCAGAGGTGGGGGAGATGGCAACTGCTTCTCTGTAAGTGTCATATTCTCACTTGAACATACTGGCAAAATGCTGCAACTGCCTGCACCTCCAGTCATGTCATTTCAGGTCACCAGGTGAAAGAGTGGTTATCCTGACACTGTAGCTGGTATGAAGAAGTCACGGATCCAATACAAAGATAATGAAAATTATCACCTCCTTCTCTACCTATAGAAACATGCTGCACTTCCATCTATGTTGTTTCAGCTCACCCACAACAAGTGGCAGCCACTGGACCAGCCACCAGACAGCTGCTTCAAGTGCTACTGAGATGGAAATTGGACGCTCTGATACTAAACAATGTTTCTTTGGACAAGCACAGAGTAAGGAATTAAGAGCTAAGTAGAGTTGTACAGTCAGGAACTTGGCTTCCCAGCTGTTAGTTGAGGTATGATACTACACACACAGCATGACCGTTACGGTAGTCTCCCTGAAATACCTAAATGCAAACAGAATGGGGCAATGTCAAAACTTGCGACTACATTTTCATGATTTAACATTTCTTTCTGTTCTCTGGAGAATCCCAGAGACTCCTCACAATAAACGATCTGCATACATATTCAAAACTACCAGCCAATATCAGATTTCTTCAGGTTTCTGTCAAATCACGAGCTGCTTATCTCAGAGTCAAAGCTTATCGCCTTCACAATGACGCCTCACTGTCACACATCAATAGCACGCACACGCATTCATCCTTCAGCGCTGAACTTCTGCTCCTCTCCTTAACAACTGCAGATAAACCTCATGAAGTGGCCTTTCCACATGCACCACATATAACAGTTCCATTACTTTTCCCTTACAACCCCACTGCTTACCTGTGAGAGGAGGAAAAGGTGGCGCAGGACTTCATATCAAGCGAGGGGTCTGATAAGTCCAACTCAAATATTTCTAGAGAAGCACTTGTACTGAAGGTTGCATCCAGCTGCTGAGCTGATGTACCTGCAAAGAAGTGTGGTTGGCAGTGAGAAAGCCATGACACACAAAAGAGCAGGTGCAAAAGCTGCATGAGGAGTGGCATAAAAACATGACCCTTGCAAAAAAGGCCACGAGATATGGTCAGGTTTCTGTTTCTGTTATTTACATTTAGCTCTACATAAAACTCCTCCCCATGGTTCCCCCTTTGGGGTTTCTTCACCAATATGAACAGGAAAAGCTTCGGGCAAGTGCCTCTCTGTTCCTGACGACGCACAGAAATCAATGAAAGTTACAAATGAGCACGAAGAGATGGTGAACAAGTGGTTAGGACTGCTGTCACCTTACCCTGGCGGAAAGAAAAGGATGCTTGCTGTCACCTGCAGAACGTAAAGCATGTTTTTATGCACAGCACAACTGAAGAACTCCACTAGAGCACTGCACCACAGACCCCACTCCAGCCTTCAGGACACGAAGTAACTCCTACAACTTTCAATTATGATGACGTCACGGCAGTAAATACACAGCCTGAGGTCTGCCAGCACGTGCTGCCCAGAAACTCACCTGTGGCCAGGTAAATGGGGTGCTGCTGGGCAGGGCTCCATGCCTGCATGGCAGTACGATCAATTTCTTTCAGCTTCATTTCACTGAAAAAAAAAACCAAGAAAGGTAATGCTTACACAGAGCACGGGAAAACGGCACTGCCACAGATTCGGCGGCTGCATTAGGGCTTGGCAGCAGCAGCCAGGGTGATCGTTTCCCTCAGGATACCCCACAGACAGACAGACACCCAAGCTATCCTCTTCAGAGCACGCCCGGGGGAAGGGGAGGAATAAGTCTCCGTTGGCAGAACAACCTCAGGGGACAG